TTGAAACCCTCTTGAACATTCAGAAAGAGTGCATATGAAATTCTAATCACGAAAGGTGTTCCCCGACAGGATGCATACCTGGAGTTTGTTTTGTGAAGCACGTCAATTCTCTCCTGGGGAACGTCTTCGTGAGCCTCTTATGGTTTCAGGATAGTTCAAATCCTATGATGTTCCGATTCAATGCTCACCGATGATCTGACCCATGGGGCAAGTTTGTTTTCCTAAGAATCTACTTGAACATTTCGAGAGCATATGTTTGAACATTTAGAGTGCATATGAACATATATTTACGAAAGGTCGCCTCCGAGGGGATAAATCACCATGTCGAACCTTGCATTTTTGTTCCTGCCTCTCGCATTCTCTTCTCTTCCCGCTGTCCTACCTTTCGTGTCTCCCTCCTCTCAAGTTAATGGACACCCTTAACCTCTAGGGCTGTGAAGAGATACCCTGACCCCCCAAGCCTTAATAGGGTCCTGGGAAAGTCGTTGTTTGTATCGGACTGATGAGGCAATTCTGCTTAAGGGTACCTTCTTGTCATTGGACATCACTTTTCCACCCGTAATTCCTCACTTATGTGAGTCAACTATTCCACCCACCTTCCGGTGCTCTCTCGGGCGCCACCGGACGGCGGGGGCGTGACGGCCGGTGACTGAGGTGATTTTCTCCTCGTTCATCTCGGCGATCACCAACGCCATGACGCAGCTGCGGAACTTGAACAAAGACGCTCACCGCGCGAACATTGTTACATTGTTGGGCGGGTTCGGGGGGCGGGGCCGATGTGACTATACTATATACGATACTCTACCGGCCATTTTTTGGGACACCAAGTCGGTCGAGAAATGCTTGTGTATGCTACATGCATGTGACATGTGTGTATAACCTATACCCAGAAAAAGGTGGATCACTTGCAAAGAAGCCTTTTTGAGGATTCGGTTCCAGGGAAAAAAGGATCACCTTTATTTTCCATGGAACACGGCACATACCATATGCACCTGAATCTTCCAACTGTGCAGTCTGCCGAACTTGGCTGGTTTATAGATGAAGAGGCAAAAATCATCCCGACTCACCTCTTTTTAGGGGCGATGAATTGACACCCCATGGCCGGGGGATGGTATTCGTATGCATGGTTTCGTACGAGGTGAGGGGCAGGTTCAAGGACGACTTTCATGGCTAAAGCAACCCCTTTTTTCCTCAGCTCCCAGAAAACACAGGCCAAAAAGACGCCATGCCTCACCATGTTTCGCCTGCCTTTTTTAGTGTTTTTTTCGTCATGTTTGGTAATTACTCTTCATGCCTCATGATGCCTCAAGAGGCAGAGTTCAACATTTTGCGATCTCGGCTTGCCCTCGGCTTGCCTCCTCTTCATCAACTCATCCTGAACAAACAAATTGCAAACATACAGCGACGTGAAGAGGTACATGGTCCACCCATGTCCTTCACTCCTTTGGGGCCTTTGGGGTCAGGGTCCCATGCGTTCCACTGCGTTCCACTGCCACTGTGCCATGCACCAGCATTCCGCCCGTTCTTCGCGCGTTCTTCGTTGGAAACACCTGTTCACTCCATGTCGTCCGCCACAGGGGTTGCGCCGTCCGCCACCGGGGGGTTGCGACGACAGGAAAAGATCGAGCAGTTCTCCCTGTTGCGGAAGTATCTCACGCAGTGCCCATTGGCTGCACATGTTTCGTGTAGAAAGCTGCACCAGCTGCAGCTGTTATGTATAGAGGTATGGGCAAGCCATCCCTGGCCAGGGTTGAGAGCCGGGTATAGCGCAGTTTTCCCATCGTCTTGGGAATCGCATCTGAATCATCCTGGTCAAGTATGATGTTTGTGTTTGTGATCTACTCCGAAAAACCGTATTTTATATGTTTTATTTTTTTTGTGAGCCTGCCTGCCCACTGATCAAACACACCATAACACACCCCAGCAACAGCTACACCTTCGACGGGCCACGTCCCATCGTCGCCGTTCGTTCCGGAGTCATTCCGGAGCTCTGCGAGGTAATGTCTCTGGAGGCCTTCTCGCACGCGTGTTGCAATCCATGAGCTCCGCGATGAACAAGAACAAGCGACGGGTGCCTCCGTCCGCAACGAAGCTTCGAGCGAAGCGTCGGACCAGTGAGCAGTTCGGGGCAGGTGTGGGAATCCTCGAGGGCTGGTGGGTGTGTGTGGGTGCGTGTGTGAAACATGTGACGTGTGAGTCGGTGTGAGTGTGAAACGGTTGGAATTGTCGGTTTAAGGGAGGGGACATTTTTGGCGAAGGCTTTTCGATCTTCTGCAGAGATGCATTTCATGAGATATTTTTTTCAGAGATGTGCTCGGAAGATGACATGCTGCCCCGTGGATGGACATTTGACCATTCTACTCTACCTGGAACTTCCAACTGTGCAGAATTGATGCCGTTTCATCTATAACATCAGGCAAAAGGCAGACATGTTGCACAGTTGGAATGAATGATCCAGGAATTTGGAGGGTGTCAGGGTGTCAGGGTGTCACTGGCATCAACTCCTTGCCCAAGATCTCACATTCAGTTGCGTTCCACATATTACAGCCAGCACACTGGTACCAGCAAAGTTACGGTAGTTCTTTTTTCCAGGCAAAAGAGGGCTATTGGAGAACAGGTGTTTGAAGGCGTCGCCCAGGAAGCTGGCGCTTGACCTGTCCTGGTCAGGTAAAAAAAACCGCCTCACTGCAAAGGCCATTTGGGATGTTTAGGGCATCGTTCTTTCAAGGCTCTCCTGCTCGGTGGCTAGAGAACTGGATTTAACTTTAACATGATTTAACTCTAATTAGAGGATATTAGAGGTATCAAAAAGCATTGTCTTCAGGCGAGGTCGGCCAGTTGGCCAACAGCAAAAACTACTTTCCCGAAGATGGAAGCAGCTCTTGGTCGTCGTCCCGGGTGTGGAAGTTCGGCTACAGGTCAACCTGCAGAACCGCAAAAGCTCGGCCTTAAACACATCGCAGTAGCAGAAATCATCGCGGAGAGAGTGGAGAACTTGCAAACACCATCACTGGTGCTACCAATAGATCGCCTGCAATCGAGCACCAGTGATCACAATCGATTTGATATCAGTCGATAGGGCAAAAAACAAAAATATCAGTTGATTTATGGAAAGGTGGTTCGTGTCAAGTCTTTGGGTTAGTTGAGTTTTGAGCGAAGGCATGAAGACGAGGACACCTGAGGATGAGGAAATCCACGTACCGCCAAGAGGATCGCAAGGACATATGTTCGCCATGTTTTTTTCATGTTATCTTCTGTGTGCTATATTTATCATCCATTGCAACAAATGTTCATGCATCATATATATATATATATATACACATAGATGTGTTTGTATTGTAGACCACGTGGAACACATATTGAGTCTATATGGTTCACAAAGTTTTCAGAATATGTTCAAGACTTTTCTTTTCACACCGGAACTCATCCATGTGATACGTTTGTTAGCTTGGTAGGATGTCCTGCTCAATAAAAATCCATCTCCATATGTTCACTTGCTGAGAAGGTGAGCATGGAGACTGTAGGTGGATCTGTGGATCCCTAGGGTTGATGTCCTTTTGGACCCTCACGATGCGGTGGACTTCCTGGTGGAGACCCTTGGTCGAACCTCCCAAACTGCTTTTCTTTCGACACAGCGGCGTGGACTTCCTGCGCAGCGGCAGAGTTTGGCACCTCTCGAGGTCCATGAAGAAGACATCAAGGTCCTCCACTTGTTGCCCTTGAGCTTGCGACAGGACATGAACCAAGAGGCACTTTTCAGAGGATGATCTTGGGGAACCCGGGATCTATTCATTGTGTTTCTCTTTTTGGGGAGGGGAAGTCTCCTTTAGCCGCCTAGCCATCAACAGGAATCCCTCTTTAGAAGGTGGGTTCATGCTGGGTTGGTCCTCAATTCGTGATTGTCGTCCGGGGGAAAAAACACACAGAAACAGGCCGAGGTTCATACTTATGATATAATAGAACCCTCCAGCACCTGGGTCATCGAAAAAAGCTTAACCTCTATTTTCCAGAAAAACTGAGGGGGTCAGCCATGGTCCACGTTCTGGAAATTCCTGGACTCGGGGTCATTGTGTCATCCTTCGTGAAAAAAGTACCATGCTCCAAAAGCCTCCAAATCGTCGACTGGGACGGCATCGACGTCTCGCCCCCGGGCCGGGCTGGTGAGGCAGTGAGACGTCACTGGGATGATTGACATGCATACCCGATGCCTACTCAATGAGGTTGGTGGTCAATATCAAAGGAGTAGTGAGTATTGGGTCATAGACGGAGTTGATCATTGTCTCAAGTAGCAGGATAGTTGATCAGTACTCAATGAGGTTTTCAGGACTGGGTTTGGACCTGGGTCAGACTGGACCAGGTCAGGACAATATCTACCAGACCAGACCTCGAAACGGGTCTCCAACAGGCTTTGGCATGGCGTAGGTGGTGAACTTGTTGGAAGCATTTGGAAGCTTTATAAAGTTGATTCTGGAAGCCCCTTGTCAGTCTTGGCATGGATCAGTTGTGTTTGTGTGGTAGACACTTCCATAGCTAGAAAGGGTTCTTCGCAGGAGAAAGGAAGTCCTTTAGCTAGGGGTTGCAAGTCGTACTGAGTACGGCGGGTCCATGATGACTGAACCATCCACATTGGTGTCAGTTTGGATTCAGAGGCTTATGGGATATGTCAGGGACCTCCTGTGCAAATACGAATTTCCTGACCCTAACGATCACAGTGGGCCACGCGGAACCTCACCGAAGCAGTGATATCTTACCCTAACATCTGGACCCTTCTTCAATCGGTTTCATGGTTTTTTCTTCGGGGTACTGGAGGGCCCGTACGGATTCTTTTGAGTAAGCTCCTTTGCAGCGGACATTGGGCTGGCCTGCCTGTTTTTTTTGTTCTTAGACCGGCGCCAGGTCTACAGCCCTCATTTCGTGGTCCATCCCTTCTTTTCGGTCTGTGCCTCCTGTTTCGACACCTATGCACCTCGACGCCACGCCTCCACGAGTAAGGAAGAGGGCCTGACAGCCCGTTAGAAGTGGTGGTGGGCGGTTGTGTGGCGATAGGGCCTTAGGGTTCGTTGTTGGCGATCTGAAACTGACAAACACCTTCCAGCACCTTCTGTTCGACGTCACCTGGCTGGAAGCCCCAGCCCACTACTTGGGGATCTCCATTAAGCACCCCCTGAAGGTCCAGGTTTGCAATGTTGATCTAGCAAGTCTAGCACCGGGGGTAGTTTGGCCTTGATGCTTGGGCCACTGTCAGCTTCTGCCAGTGCCAGACCTGACATTTGGGCCATGGCTTTTGGCCCGTGTTTTACGCCTTCTCTCGATTTATAGTGAATAACATCTTGGCCACCCTGAAGACACTCCTCAATGCTCCAGTGACTCCAACGCTGCTTCAATATGTTGGCGATGAACTTGGCTTGGCTGAAGTCAACGGAGTATGTTGTATTGCTAACCCAGTTGAAGATGTCGATGTGTACATTCCCCAGGCATCCATATCATACTGTACCCTTTAATAAGTTGATTGGAGACTTTTTCTATGTAGGCTTGGATGGTCCCATCACCGTACCTCAGAAGGGTGCCAGTGGATCCCTAGGGATTGGTTCTCTCGGAACCCCACGTCCTCTCCACCTCCGCACCAGCTCCGCACGAAGCTTCGGGCGAAAACGCCTGATCGCTCCAACGCGGGTGGTGAAAACCGATCTCCGAAAAAATCCACGGAATGCCCTTGTGATATGCTTCTGTTTTGGTTCTTGGGATGGACGCCCGAGGTCCTGCAGTCTCTTGGAATGGATTATAGATCCATCTTTCCGCATTTAGACCTGCAAAGACATCTATCGACCAATCCTAAGAATCGATATTTTAGTCCCGCCGGGACATGGATTGGAGGGCAGACTCTACATGATCCCATCCCAAAAAGGCTATTCGGCTTTGTCCTCTTCCACGTTCAGTCCCCCACCCTCCAACCACCACTCAGTCCCCCACCCAGTCTCAGCGCTCGCCCCGCCCAGGTGCGGAAGCTCTACTCCGCGGGTTTGAGGACGAAGTTCGTCCCCTCGAACCAGGCCTTCGTCGCGCGCACCGCCGCGTGGGTCGCGAGGCGCGCGTTGCGGTCGGTCGACGTCTGCTGCGCTCCGAGTCTGTGGGGAGAACAGGTTCAGTACAGTGGGTCAGTGAAATACGCCCGCGGAAGATGAACATAGAACTTCTATGAACTTCTATATATAATAGAACTTGAAAAACCACTAGTCGTCTTCCAGTCTGGTCCATGTTCATTTTCCATGTTAATCTTCCCAGGTATACACCGAATATATCCGAATATACCGTCTGGCTTTGGAAGGGTTTCCCAAGTTCTCAGAAGTCTACTTAGAATAGATCTCCCATATGCATGGTAGGAACTCGCCAATCTTTCTGCTGGTTTTGTCCTGCCACAGATATTTCACCCCAGTTGCTGCGGTTGGCCAAAAAGCCACCCTGACAACTGGGACAACTAGGAGTCAGCCACTCAGCAAGAAGGTTCACCAAGGTGTGTTTGATTTTATTAGAATTGGACTTGTCTCACTGACACAGGCAGAACTGCGCGTCATAAGTCACAAGATGTCAATGTCATAGGTCCCATGAAAGATCACTTACACCCGAAGTCACTAACATGGAAGTGAACAAAAAAAACATAAAACAAAAAAAAAACAATCATTCCAGCACCCTCCAACAGGCTGTAAGTTGAGGGTTGTTGGACCCTGTCTCAGGTCCAATTGGTGACCTGTTTGTCGTCGGGTCCTGGTTTGTTTGGTACTCCAAATGGTCGTCCTTGCGTGCCAAGCCTTCCACCATTCTTGCGACAGGGAGTGTCTGGTGGCCGATCGCCCCGAAGCTCCGAAGCTCGCTCGGCAGGAGATTATCACCTCTGGGGAGCAGGCCGGAGAGATCGTGCGGGCGGGTTCGGTCGCAGGGTTTCGCTGCAAGGAGGGTGAAACCGGTCTTTCCCGGCCCCAGCCGAATTGGAGGGTCCACTCCAGAGGATTCGGGGGGCGAGAAGAGCTACAGCGGCCATCTCTCGTTGACATATCAGCTTCCGAAAGGTGACCAGAATGGGGCAACCCTAAATGACACTTACTTTTAGGTCTCCAGACGGTTTTTTTTTGAACACCCGGGTCCTCACCTCTTTACGTATGTATAGGGTCCTGGTAAGGGCATTAGTTAGTGTTGCCTGACGGTGGAAAACTGATTTGCACGATCGGTGAAGCACGAAGAAATGCTCAGGGACCCTGGATGGCGTAGATACGAGTTCTTGAGATGTCTTTTGTTTGGTCAGGGGATCAGAGTGCAATAGATCCATGACTGGGTGGTGGTTTCAGATAATTAGTTTGATGTTCAACCTGGGATGATTGAACCCCCTGACGAATATGTTTCAAGTGAGTTCAAACCACCAACCAGAAGAGGCATTCACCGACTACCGCTGACTACGCACCCAAAGGGAGGCTGAACCAGCTCCTGCTCCCGGACCGGAGAAGCTGGGAGGAGACCACCGAGCTATTTTGCTCAATGAGTTCTGTTTGTTCCAAGAACTCTTTTCAGTAAGGGGGCCGAGCCTGCTTGTTGGCTCGGACTTGAGTAAGACATATTTTGTTGTTTTCTGGATGACAAGGTCCATCTTCAGAAATTGCCATGATTTTCGGGTGGGAGATGGGCTCCAGGAGGTCATAGGAGGTCTATTCTATTGCTTGAGGAGCTTGGAGCTCGCTTCGAGCTGGTGCGAGGATGTTTGCACAATCAAGTGGCCGCACTCTGATAGAACCTGTATGAACCTGTCAATAATGCTAAATAATCCTTTATAACTAAGACCTCCATGTTCCACATACATGTCCGGTCACATTTAACCTTTCGACCCACCTCCCAATTGGAGAAACTCTCTTCATTGGAGACCCTCTTCACACCACCGAGAGCCCTCACCTTCTTCACCTCGGTAGGTCCAGATCTCATCCCTCGGTATGTCGGGAAGTTCACAACGCAGATGTGACACCAATCTTCCAACTCTTAGTGCCGTTCGTAAGGAGATGAAAGGCACTCTATCTAACTAGCCATGGTTGGACATCTCGTACGAAACCAGCCAACATGTCCGCCACCTCACTTGGCTAGTGTTTATAGATGAAGTTCGGCAGAGATGTCGCACTGTCGAGGTCGATCCAGGTCTATCGATGGCGACCAAGTATTTATGTTGGTCTTCCTTTTCGGCGGAATAACGAGGCCAAGGAGATGTTCTTCATCATCACTGGCAGTTGGAACCTCAGCTCTCTCTTCCTCTCTCTGAGAAAGACCGCATTGGCTCCTCACAGCACGTCGGAGCCGGAATTTGGTTGGCTTCGAACTTTCAGGTATGAGGAATATATATATATATATATATTAGACTAGCCTATGCAGCATTATATTTGTTGGAAGAATTCCTCTATGACTTGCATACCTAAGAAGAATTCCTCTATGACTTGCATACCTAATTTAGATTATAGCATATGATAGCCCTCGGGGTCATTATAGCATCCTCCCTCCCTCCCTCCATCCATCCATCCATCGATCGATCGATCTATCGATCTATGGATCTATCTATGGATCTATCCATGGATCTATCTATCTATCCATCCATCCATCCATCCATCCATCGATCTATCTATCTATCTATCTATTGATCTATCTATCTATCTATCTATCTATCCATTTATTTATCTATCTATGTATCTGTCCATTCATCTATCTATCTATCTATCTATCTATTGATCTATTCATCTATCTATCTATCTATTTATCTATTTATCAATTTATCTATCCACCTATCCATCTATCCATCTATCCATCTATCTATCTCTCTATCTATCTATCTATCTATCTATGTCTATCTATGTCTATCTATGTCTATCTATGTCTATCTA